TTTTATGCAATGTGTGACAATCGAGACAATGCGATAAGACCTGCATAATTCTACTGTTGCTTTATGTCTGTTTCAAAGACAAATTTACATTGGACGCGAATAAAAACACGAATGATCATTCGCGATGCTTTCGTCGCGAACTACGCGTGTATTATTGTTCGTAAACGGATTGACCCAAAGAAAACCTCTGAAATGACATAAATAACGGCGGCGTGTGGGCCGTATTGACTTACGTAACAATACGCGCTGCCGCGGCTGCCGCGAACCTCCGCAGAAAAATCACGCAGGAAAATTAGGTACACGCAGCACAGAAAGGAAACAATTACGCCTATAGCACAATTGTTAAAAATCTAGAAATCGCCTGGGAACCGGAGAAAGTTGAGAAATGTTCTAATCTGTTTACGTCATAATTTAATAGAATGTCAGTCGCATGGTTATCAGTGAATTTTTTAATGAAATTTGCAGATATAGAAAAATATCGTATGCAAATGACTTGTGACATTTTGTGTATCTTTCTGTACAGTTTATCTAAAACTCTCTTTCTAAAACTGAAAGCAATCTTTAATAACTTTACTTTAAATAATGTAATATATAAATTTAATTTTCTTTTTTTTTTAATTATTTTAAAACGCACGTTTATAAACTAGTTGTTAAAAAAATGTTTCAACTTGAAAAAAATAAAGTATTTAGATTCTTCAACAACCAAAGAAATTTTCAATAGTCGTCCGATATGAATGTCGACAATGGTGACGAAACGGTTGCCATTGGCAGGGCGCCGAGTGTCTGACAGATAAACATCGTTATATATCTTTATATTTTGATTTTGATTTTTATATTGATAATGTATAATTATAAATATAAAAAGGTTATCAGATAATAAGGATTTTTTCGCAATAAGCCATCAAATTGTTTCGCTAAAGTGTCTTGAGATTTGTATCTGTCAATTACTTCCGATCAATCACATGGTTCTCAAACATGTATATCTCATGCATACAAATATGCAAAAGTGATATGTTCTTATATAGAAGATAAGATTGAAATATTTTGTTGTACATATACTGAAAGTTTTAATAATATCGCACGAAGTTTCATTAAGGTTTTCATATAGATATGACTACAAATATCAAAAGTTAAATAAAAGATTATTTTCCAACTCTAACTAGTAGTAAGATTACCAGACATCCTCATTTTCTGGGAACAATTTTTAGATTTTTATGCTATAGTAATGTAAAGGATAGAAAACACGTTAAACACATTTTTACTTTCCGTAATCTGGGTTTTTTTTGGTACAAGTGAAAATGTTTTCAAATGCTTCCTTATTTTTGTTTAATTTTTATTAAATAACGGTTTTAATATTTAAATTTAAAAACTAAAGATGTTGAAAAATGATTTTGAATTTTTTAATATTTTTTAGAAAGCCTAGAATAGTAAAAAAAATTTGGGTTTTTGAAAGCCTAGAATAGTAAAAAAAACAAAAAAAAAGACAGACGGAGGGATTAAAAATATTATTACAGACGGAGGGTTAATAGTAAATTTCGGTTTATTTATATTATAGCTTATCAAGTAGAATAAAACAATATACGAAATAACATTAGTTTTACATATAAATTACCTTTATTTAAAAAAAGTAAAGATCTGACTCCGAATTCAGTAAAAAAAAATTTAATAACTCTAAATTAGTTGCATATAATGAAACTAATGGAATAAAATAGAATAATAATAGAAATAATGACAATAAATAAGGATGTAAATAAATGATACATAGCGAAGAGATGGATTTTAATCCTTTAAGGCAGCTTTCTGACAAAATAATTTATAGATCTTGCTTTCTAAGGGTTTTTCGATAACTGAATTCGATTCTGATTTCAAAATGCTAAAATTTAAATTTCTAAAAAATAATTTGATTATCACATGAAACTCGGTTTCAGGAGATTCTTGACACTCTGAGTTTTAATTAACTTGAAAATATCGAATTTCAAAAGTAGTAACCTCTATGAAGGAGGAGCTAGTGTCAGAGAGCTCATAATCATAGTTTGAAAGTCAGTTTGGAAAGCAGTACTAACTGTTTCTGTAACACTGATGAGCTTCAAATAAAGCGAAACTGGAAATTTGATGTTATATATATATATATATATATATTCACAATTAAAAACTCCTTAAAATCAAGTTTTATGATAATCAAATTATTTCTTTGAAACGCTGTCCGCCATATCGAATTTATCATCCTAATTTGAATAAAGCGTTATCAAATTATTCCATAGACCAAGTTTCATAAAAATGGGGAGCGAGCAGTTTATAAAATAAAAAACGGTGATCCCAAATGGAATCTCCGGTTCATAAAAGGGTTAAATGAAAATAAACATTTGACGACGTACTTCGGATTATGCGCCACGGTTGCATTCCGTTCATTCCGCGAGCGCGTCCATAGATATGTACATCCACTTTGGGTTCTTAACTTTCGCTATTAAGCGATTTCGCTGTAACCGGTACTTGTGAGTAAAGTTTGTAAAGCGCGGCGAGGGAGAACCCGCCAGACTGCGGTGTTTATTGCGCGGAAAAAGAGCGGGAAGCTGCAACAACGTTTCGTGGCGTGCGCCTTCACATCTTCACTGAATTAAATCAGCCGATTTCTGTATTCGCAAATGAATAAACTGTCTGCACGCGCGAGTGATACAAAATTTGTTTTTTTTTCTTTATATATATATATATTTAATACGGCAATATATCCTGTGATCGATGCGCAAAGTGTGTTTTATGCTCGGCATTTACACGCTCGAGAACAGGTATATCGGATGTAACCGCGTGACGCGTGATTATTACAGGAAAGTGTGTTAACTGCAGGCTTAGGCTCGGCAAAAAAAAATGATTTAACATTTTTCCCTTGTTTTCGTACACATAATCGTACACGTAATATACACATAATCTTGATAATAATACTTTATTCCAAACAGAAATTGCGAATATTATGCCCATACGTTTAACGTTGTTATTATTATTTGCATTACTATAAATTACATAAATTGTTATTACGTGTGTTATATATTCATTCTATATTCCTGTATATTTACATTAAATTATTATTACAGATTTATATTATAAATAGTAATTATGGATTTTGCAATTTATAAACATCGAGGATGTTATTTCAAACTCGTCGCAAATAAATTCATCTCACGGGGCTGGTATGAAATATGAATAGAAAGCGTTAAGCTCGTAAACATATCAATCGATATTTCCTGACAAGACCGTCGTTACATCTTTAATGAAAATGACTTGATGCAAGTCGGCAAATAGAGTTCATCGCTTAACGGACCTCTAGCGCTTCCGGCGAAAAAAAGTTTCGAAGGTTCCGGTAACAACCGACGTTATAGCCGTAAAACGATGAAATCAATGCGTAACGATCGTACCGACGCTATATTTAGCCAGCGAGAGTACAGGTAATTCCTATAACCGTCCCGGTGCATTGACAGGTGCAATTTATCTGAAGCCTGAATGCGCACTGTGCGCGAGCCTCTGTTTTAAAACGCTCGAAAACTGATTATTCGCGCTTCGACATCGCTTCCCTTCAATTCGCAATACAGTAACCTCGCGCGCAGACTGCAACGTAATTGGCCGAACGATATAAAGCGGCGTCAAAGTATAAAGAATCGAGATATCCGCTTGATCTCCCAGTTGTCGATTTTCCACCATTCAAAATATTCAGCCTTCTCATCTCTCTCTTTATATAATAAATAAATCAGTATAATTTTTCCCTTTTAACTCAATCTCAAATAATAATTTTATAAAGGAACGACTCAACTTTTAGATTTAAACGGTTGCTAAAAAGTTTCATTGCCTGAAATTTTATTATATCGAACAATTAATACATATCAAGCTTTGTATCTTCTTAATTGTTTGAAACACATAAACCAGCTCTGCCTCGATAAGATTTCAATGAAGAAGTTAAGGACTTACAATTAGAATTTTCTTGAAATAATAATCAGAGTTTCGGAGCACCGTATATATGACGGAGATTCTGTCATGCATCGGCGTAATATCGCAAGAGCCAAACGAATCACGCGAGTATCGTGCGGCGGTACGTACACGCCATCGCGCATATATCCGCGGATACATCACGCAAATGTACGTTTACGTGAATAACGCTTCGACATAATTATGTGTATGCGTGTATCGCTCCCCGGGCTGCGCACATATCCGCAGCGGCGACACGTGCGTGCGCGCTGTTTCACGCATTAGGTAGCAGCAATAAATAAAGTCGAACGCGGGAGAAGGAATAATAAAAGATAAGCCCTTATCGGTCAGAGCTGATATCGGTCGTACATCTCCGGATGTATTTGGATGCATCGATAACGAGTGTCCTTATGTATTCGCAAAAGTGTGTTGGTGTGACGCACACACGTGCGTCAATATGTTGCAAAACATGTTCTTTAAATTATACACCGCGATTACCCGCGTTAAAGAATCGCATTATTCACGTCGTTCGCACGCACCTTTCATCGAGTCGTTAAATGTAAAATGTTTTCGCACGACGATTATTCTTTACGGAAAATCGAAATGAATCTGTCCTCCGGAAAAAAAGGTGTTGAGACATGAATATTTTTATTGTGATCAAAATAGACGTTTAATTTGAGAGCCTTAAGAATTTTAGATAAATAACAAAACTTTATTTTTTTATTACAATTTTTTATTTAGCATAATTTTTTAATAGGCTTTGATAAAAGTCTATATTTGAAAAGAATAAATAAATGCAATAATTGACTTCTGATAATTAGATTAGAAAAGATTAACAAAATTTGAAAAATTATAACATTAATTTCGTTGGAAGAAAAGATAGAGACAATTATTTTACTGTCCTGCGCGGAATACCTTACGTTCCATCGTGTAAAGCAGTTAGAAGAGTCGTGATACACACCACCTGGGCCACGTAACGCGATACATTGTTAAGAAATCCTACTACTAGTCATGAGCATCGGAGGGTACAAGTCTTTCTTATATAGCAGGGTTGCGGGGTGCAGTTCAGACATGGGAAGTGAGCATTACTGCCTGAGGTGGAACAATCATCAGAGCAACTTGCTGGGTGTGTTCAGTCAACTGCTGGAGTCGGAGTCGCTGGTGGACGTGACACTGGCGTGCACGGAGGGACCGTCGATACGCGCACACAAGGTAGTCCTCTCCGCGTGCTCCAGTTACTTCCAGGCCCTGTTCCTCGACCATCCGAACCGTCACCCCATCGTTATCCTAAAGGACGTACGTTTCGCCGAGCTACGTACCCTCGTCGACTTCATGTACAAAGGCGAGGTAAACGTCGAGTACTGCCAGCTATCGGCCCTCCTCAAGACAGCGGAGAGCCTCAAGGTTAAGGGTCTAGCGGACATGACGAACATCAACGCAGCGGTAGCATCCAGGGAAGAACAGCAACAACAGCAGCAACAACAACAACAGCAGCAGCAGCAGCAACAGCAGCAACAACAACATACGAGCACCTCCGACACGTCGCGAGAGCATCATCGAGAACGAGAACGAGAACGAGAACGAGAACGAGACCGAGAACGAGACCGAGAACGAGAGAGTATAAAAGAGACAAGTAGCAAGGAAAGGGAACGAGAGTCGAACCTCACCACTGGAGTCTCGGCCGGTGCGAAGGAATGCGAGCAGCAGCAGCAACAGCAGCAACAGCAACAGCAGCAATCCAGCAGCATCGTGCAGAGCACCCCTAGCGAAACCACAGAGGCGGTGGACATGACGGATTGTCCGCCGTCGCCCACGGGGCCCGGTAGCCCGTGCCCGGGACCGCTGGCCCTTGATCGACCCAGGAGGGACTCCGAAGACGCGGGCAGCCTCGAAGAAACGAGGGCCGGCTCTCTCAGCCCGATCTCGGTGCACAGCGGACCATCCGACATGAGCCTCAGCAACAACACCGGCGGCGCGCCCGGTGGCGTGCTGCCGTTGAATCTGCCGCAGAGCCGGCTTCCGTCCCCGCACAGTACCGAGCCTCTCGCCGGCCCTTCGGGCTTACCCCCGGTTCAACAAGTTCCGCTAGTAAGTAGCAATAAGATTAATCTTTGAAAGGAAATTTCATCCTAATCCGAGCAAGTAGGATTCAAGTTTAACTCGGAAGCAATCTTGGAAGCATGGCTGACGTAATATTTACTCTTGATACAGCAAGAAGAGAGAGAGATTGGAATTTAAAAAAAGAACTTTTTAAAGTAATCCAATCGTTTGATTATATTCAATGGTTATGTATTAATTTTAATAACACATATATTTGCGTAAAAACTTTAAAATATGTCTACATATCTATGTTAAATCCTATTTACTCAGATGTATTAGAAGAGTTTGTTTAATTTCGAGTATCGATAAAATGCCAATCAACTATTATGTCGATATAATTGAACTTAAAATTTAAATCGAGTGAAAAATCTATTGAATATTTACGTTGGGGATTACGAAATGTGTTTTAAAAAAATATTGATACATCATATTGTAATATAGACATGAATTCGATAAAACTTTATCGTTATAATGATTTTCTTCTACATTCACGAAGCTTAAATTTTTCTACATACAAATAATGTTATTATGGAAGCTTTTATAGTTGAATCAACTCATTCATTTGTTTGCCCCGCAATAACGAGATATCTCTGTTCACGTTTAATATTCTCGAATTGATGACCAACGTCGTAGTTATTTTATAAAAAGAAAATCAACTATTAGGTGTTGGAATTAATTCGTAGCGTTTTTTAATGAAAGAATGTTATTTATTTCACATGAGCATTAAAAAATACATTAATGAAAGTACTTCCCATCACTTGTAAAACGCTACGAATTAATTCCAACACCTAATATATAATAATTTTGATACTGACCATCGATATTGCCGCATGACATGTGATCTCAATATCATTTGTTTATTGTATATTTATTACTTGGATATAAACCGGATGCACTTTCCGTTGCAGTCCTTGAAAAAAGAAATGGACTGGGAAAGATCGACCGAGGAGCGCAGCGCGAGCAGCGAAATATCCGCAGACTACAGACTCCCGCCAGATCCGGTAAGTGCCCCTTTTTCCGGCGAGCTATATATATACATATATATATTTCCAATTTATTATTAACTACTTTTTTATTCTCGTATCCTCTCTTTGCTCTGCATTTCTATATACATATATATATATACATATATTATATATTAATAAACGTCTTGCTCATTCGCAATCGTCGGCAGGAGCTGCGCGTTGCGGATGAGACGACGATCCACTGCGCCAAGTCCCTTCAAGTTGCAACTGCAATTACGCGTTGCAATGCATTATGCTACATCATTATTATGACTGAATCACGGCGGATCATTCGTGACGTGCTACCCGGTATATGACGACAGACGCGACTTTCAAGTATCGTCGAGATGCATATAAACGTACTTTGCTTTACCCGAAAGTCCGACGGTGCAAATTGCATACGCACGTACACGCGCGCGCATGCACGCGTGTATGTGTATGTGCGTCGAATTCACTTTGCATGTGGGTCTCTTGCATGTGCCCAAGTGCTTTGCTGTTTGCTGCTCTCCCTGCTAATTTGATAGAATTGTCGCGTTATCAAAGAAATTGCCGTAATCATACGGTATTCCGAGGATCATGACTAATGATCTCGCAGAAAGCAGGATTCTCGTTCGTTCTTGCGCTTTACTTGTTACGATTTTTACCTGCCGAGAGTAACCTTATAGTAACCCATTCCTTACGATCGAGTTCTTTCAATATTTTCATGTAAAATTCTTTCTAAAACTCTTTACTAGTTGACGCTCTTACCGATTGTTCACTAGTTGACGGCAAAACGTCATTTTAAATGTATCCTCTATGTAACTTTCGTTCAGTAAATTTTTAGCTGTTAGTTAGATTCGCGCGACATAATGTCAATATTGTTTTTGATGAACGAAGAAAAGAGAGAAGGATAGTGAAATTACACGAAATTATCGCGGTAAAGATTTTGATATAAGATTTGAAGATTTCACAAAGAGAGGGAGTGTAAATTAAACTTGTGACAAATGATTTGTCGAATAATTCTTTATAAAAGAATTGAAGACGTTAAATTATAACGCAAGTGATAATTCTTTATGTATATATTTTAATTATCAATGTTGCTTAAAAAGATTTTCTTCTCTGAAATTTTTACATAAACTAAAAAAAAATATACTAAATTTTAATATATTTGTTGAATAGTACTAATCGAATATTTACTAAATGTAACATACATTTATTTGGTACAAGAACTGTTAATTTGATTTAACTATTTAATTATTTGTTTTTATTGAATAAATATTTATTTATTGTAACTGTCAAGTTGGTATTATTAATGGAAAAAAATATGTATTAATATTTAGTAAATTTTTTTCTCTGTACACCCGTCTTTATATCAAATTTTCATTCGTGTGTCATATTTGTTTAAAAACTTCATCGAGATACAATAAATAAAAGGAAAAAACGAGATCGTGCATGTTCATCTGTGGCGAATATATTGTCTTCTTTACCGAACTAATCCACCGTCCATTATACCCCTCGTCTTCTCTCTGCTTTCCGATACACAGATGTATTACACGCATTCTCTGTCTTTCTCTCTGTCTCTCGTCTCTACTTCGAAGTCCAGTTTCTCGTCTTTATCTTTAGTCGTTGTCCCGGTTTCTAAATGTGGCTACAGAGAGACGTGAACTTTATTAGATCAAAACGAATTATACTTGATTTACCTCCTTATAAATATTCCAGAACAATTTTCTAGAATGATACTCGGAACATTCATAAAGTGTATTGAAACAACTGGCTAGATTTTATGCAAAATTTCTATTTAGCTAGAGAATACGAAACTTTCATTTTCAGTTTCACGACTCTGTATCTTCCACTACCTCATGACCCTTTTCTACCCCTTCAGCATTCTTTTGCTTGCTACGCGTGCAGCTCGCGCCAAGAGTTACCACTCGATCGTAAAAGCTCGGCCCCTCTTCCGTCTGTGAATTCCATCTCCACGTACTTTGAGGGAACCGAAAAAGTGCGCTCAAAGTCTGTTTTGAAAGATAGAGAGAGAAAGAGAGAGAAAGAGAGAGAGAAAAAGAGAGCGAAAGAGAAAGAGAGAGAGAGAGAGAGAGAGAGAGAGAGAAAGAGAGAAAGACGAAAAAATTGACAAACAAAAGAGACTACGAAAAGCCAAATGAATCCTCTCCCGTCCTGCCAGCCTGTCTTGCTAGCTCACTGTCAAGAAGTTGACCTTCGTTTTTGGCCATGATTGTTTTTTTACTACATTTATATATATATATACATAAATATATATACATATATATATACACATACGTTATGTATACATCGCATATCGTTTGTACACTGTGATATAAATATCTATATATATTTACATATATATTTTTTGCACAATATATCTATATATATATATATTTATATATATTTATACGTATATATATATATATAAATATATATATATATACATATATTGGCAGATTGTTGACATATTCATTATACCATTTGTTACTTTGTAATATCTGTATTTCAATTTGTCGTTTTGGTTGAGTGCAATGCCTTTTGCTACGGCGAATAAATTTTGCGGCGCGGCATATACGCTGCAATAAAAGGGAGGAGGGACGAGAAGGGTTGAGAACGAGGCTGTGGGGGTTGTCATGGGCCCGTATACATATATATCTGTTGCTATATTATATCTACGTATATATATTTATCTATTTATTTATATATATATGCAAGATGTCTCCCTCGAAACTATTGCCGCTCGTTTTGTTTATAGATTTCTTGATCAATTTGGAATCGATCTTTTCTTAAAATTAATTTTATGTCATATCTCATTTAGTAAGCTTAGTACAATTAGTTTTAAATATCTTTGTAAGCTAGCCTCATAATCAGATTATAGCACTGTTTATTTGGAATCAATTAACGAATCATCTTTCGCTACTTACTTTCCGAGATTTACTTTATCATAAATTATTCGCTTATGTTTAAAACAATTACATGAATAATTAAAACGATTTATCTACTTGTGATTATTTATCAAATTTCTATTCTCCGAATTGATCAAAAAATTCATATGTAGAAGGAACGGCAATAACTCGAGGACACTCTGTATACATATATATATTTATACATCGTAACACACTCAAATAGTTTGTCATACATGTGCCTGGGGTGCGCGGCGCGCCAAACAAAAATGAGCGTCAACTTCTTGTGAATACCGTCTTGTGTGCTACCGAGAAGCGTTAGCTTCTCGCCACGCCGGAGACACTTTCTCCTCCGAATGAATGAAATTTATGAATTAGAACACTGAAGGAAAGAGAGAGAGAGAGAGAGAGAGAGAGAGAGAGAATAGAGAGACAGAGAAAGAGAGAGAGAGGACCTCTTTTAGTCGCAACACGTGCTTATAGTAGTGTCAAAAGAACGAGCTTGCCTGTACTTTCTTTATTTCTTTTTTTTTTTTATCGAAAACTTAGATGCATTAGAAAGAATTAGTCGTCAAAGGGAGACAGAAAGAAGGGAGCACGATACGAAGGTTATCCAATAAGATTTTTTTTTCTTGTTCATTCAAGATAACCGTGGCGCTTGTCCGTTTCTGAAACGACGTGCTACGAGATATATACAGTATATATATAATATGTATATACATATATGTCCGTATATATACATATATATACACATACATATATCTATATAATAGACATATATACATATATGTAACATATGTGTGCATCTGTGTATCCTGCAGATCAAGTAGTGTCAGAGACGTTTTGTCACGCGTTATTGTGATATACATGGTAATATAGTTACTACAGTTAATAATTCATATATATATATATATATATATATATATATGTATGTATGTATGTATGTATGTATATATATATATACACACATTACTGTCAGAATTTACAAGACTAGGTTAAAAAAATAGAAAAAAAAAATAGTTCAGTAACTCGAAGTAGATTAAAGTAAAGAAAGAAAGAGAGAGAAAGAAGAGAATGAGAGAGGAGAGAGAGAGTTGGAGAAAAAGAGAGAGAGAAAGAGAGAGAGAGAGAGAGAGAGAGAGAATTCAGAGAGAAAAAGAGGCGGAGATGAGTCTTTCCCGCGGGGGTATAGAGCGCCGGAGAGAAGACAAGAAGTTGATGTTCTTGTTTGTTTGGTTGCAGGAGTTGATGGGTGTGGATGAGCGGGTGTTTGCGTGCATGTACTGCGGTGCCTCGTTCCTCCACCAGAGCAAGCTGACGCGGCACATCCTCTCGCACAGCCTCGAGTCGCTCAAGTACCGCGAGCAGGCGGCCCACCTGCAGCTGCAGGCTCAGCTGGGCCTCGAACCCGGCATGCACCTGCCGCCGGAGGCCCACTACCCCGCTGCGGGTACGATTGAGCCGATGGACTTCGAACTCGCGGCCCACTCGGACCCGACCTCCGGCGTCGTCCTCTGCAAGTTCTGCGGCAAGTCTTTTCCGGACGTTGGCTCGTTGATTGCCCACCTACCGGCGCATACCGGTGACCGGCCGTTCAAGTGCGAGTTCTGCGGTAAAGCGTTCAAGCTGCGCCACCATATGAAGGACCACTGTCGTGTGCATACTGGCGAACGGCCGTTCCGGTGTACGCTGTGCGGCAAGACCTTTTCGAGGTCGACGATACTCAAGGCCCACGAAAAGACACATTATCCGAAATATGTGCGCAAGTTCCTGTCCCCGAGC